TGAGTTCTGATCCTGATTTACAATTGACAGCTTATTGTGATTCAGATTTTTCTACATGTTCCATGTCTCGGAGATCGGTTACAGGATTTATTGTTATGTTGGGTGATTCTCCGATTGCTTGGAAGACAAAGAAACAAGATGTGGTGTCATTTTCTTCTGCAGAGGCTGAATATCGTGCAATGAGTTTTACTACTCGAGAGTTGAAATGGAATCGTGAGCTTTTAGGATGCTTTGGAGTGTCTCATCCGCAGGCGATGCGTTTGTTTTGTGACAATAAGGCAGCCTTACATATTGCTGCCAATCCAGTTTTTCATGAGCGGACGAAGCATATTGAGAGGGATTGTCACTTCATTCGGGATGAAATTCAGGATGGTTCACTGGTTACTACGCATCTTACCACTACGGAGCAACCAGCGGATATCTTTACTAAGGCTTTGGGTTCTCAACAATTTGCTTATTTACGGCGCAAGTTGGGCATGTATAATCTTCATGCTCCAATTTGAGGGGAGTATTAGGGACCTATAATGTAAATATATTATACTTAGGCTCAGAGCCGTGCCAACATTAATGAATATCATAAGCGGTTAAAAATAAAATGCCCCTGTTCAACAAAAACAAAAACTTTACAAAAATAAAAACTATCATCGTTTAGAAAAAAAATAAAGAAACAAAATAGCAAATAGTATAGAAGAAATTTCTTCTCTTTTTCTCCACAAAATCGTTAACAAAAGTTTTGAAATCAACTTTTCAAACCAAGGTTTCAAAATAATATTACAACTTATAACAATTATTTGCAACTTTAGAAAAAAATAAAATTGGGTAAAAAAAATTAAAAGTACATCAGAAAAATAAAATAAAAACATGAGTAGTTTTACCTTAGTTATAAAACGATTTCGAAGGAGAAACGTTTTATCAGTGTAAACCATAACAATAAAAACAAGAAAAAAAAGCAGGAAATTTGTAACGAGAGACCATGCAAATCTTTTAGTTTATCCTAATTGTTTAATAACACTAATTAACATTAGTTTATATCTTTTTCTAAATTAATTAACAGATTCGAAACCCATGTTTGGATTATACAAGCCCATATTTTGTTTTTCTTTATTATCATATACTAGTATTCAACTATTCATCATTATAACTTGTAAACCCATATTTAATATTTAAATATTTTTGTTAGAAGTAACCTATATAACATTAATAAATATATGCCCTTAATTATTTCTCCAAATTGGATGCCATAGGCCAATGCTTCTTTTTTTCTCATTGTGGCACGGGCTGCTTAGGCTAATATGTTAATTTCCTTAAGTATGTTTAGGGTTTCATGTGTAGGATGTATATATACTTTTTCTCAATATCAATAAAACACAACTTTTATTTTTATTCTCTTATCCCTTTGGCACAGATGATCATATTCTAATTCATGGTTACACCTCAAAAAAAAAAAAGCTTTGCAAATATGAAAACCTAGCTAGTCCTATAATTTAGCAAAATAATTGATCAGTCGTCAGTGATCTAAACTTTCATCACTACTAGAATTAAAAAATAAATAAAAAAGCCACGTAAAAAAAGTTGATCAAGTGATGAGCATGTTACTTACGTTGCCACGTTACGTTTTTTCTTTAGACATTAGGTTAGTGGCTGTACGTATCTGCTCGATAATTGGACGGTGCTCTACTTCAAGCTTCCTATACTATTATTTGGGGAGTACACTTTATTAGATACCCTTAACTAACCTTCTCTTTTGTAAGAATTTACTTAATAATGCCATTACAAAAATCTTCTTTTAGAACAAATTTCATTCAATTTATTAAGGATAAACAAGTAAAATAGTAATTTATGTCATTTAATTAATTTAATTAAATTATAAAACGAAAATCTGTTATTAATTTTTTTTAAATGACCAATCAAAATGAACATATAAGATTTGATATCTAACTTACCATATTAATTTGTTATTAATCATTAAACTTCACCTCTCATCTTAATATGATTATATTAATATGAAACAAATAAATAATCATATCATCTACATAATAAAAAAAAAGTAATTCTTTTTCTGCATATGCCAAGATTTGAATTTTTAAAAACGCATATAAATTGTTCAATCTATAAAGGAAACAATTAAACGGGTCAAAAATTGAGAGTTGAGTAATATATTTCTTTTACACAAAAATAAAGTCAACAAAAATTCTGACTGAGCAAAAAAAATAAAGTCAACAAAAATTTCGACTGAGCAACGGGTCAGAATTTGAATATTTATATTCGATTTCATACATTTATTTTTTTGAAATGTATAATTTTATATACTACAATAAAAATTTAAATATTTTAATTTGCAACATTTAAAATAAGTTTTACTTGATATTTTTAGACAATATCATCAATACTTAATAGTTCAAAAAGTTAAAAATTATAAATGCTCTAATTTGATTATTTTTAAAAATATTTATAATAGGTAGCGGGTTAAATATAATATATTATACGATGAAATGAGTTTTGATCCTTATAACTATTTGAATAGTTATATTTAATTTCATATAATTTGTTTTTTGAAATTCATAATTTTATAAACTACAAAAAAAATTTAAAGATTTTAATTTGAAATATTTAAAAATAATGTAGAACATTTAAATATGGTTTGACACCTCTAAATATTTGAAAATTTGATTCCGCAAGCAATTTTAGAATTAACGAATAATAGATTATGCACACAATATTTTAAAATGAAATATTGAGATTCTAAAATAAAAATATAGACTCCACGCACGGGTTGATTTTGGTATTATTATATACTAAATATATGTTTATAACATATTCGATTATGCGAATAATTGGTAAATTCCGTAATTATAAATCTCAAACAAATTCTGTAATTAGATTAGCTCAAACAATTCTCTATTTCAACAACCAAAGAATTATAAATTGAAAAAGAATTTTCTAAATTAATTCAAAATAATAGCTAATTTTCTTAATTAATTCAAAATAATCTATGTTTTATATGCGATTCATTTATGATATTTTAATTTTTGATCTAACTGAACATATGCAATCCTATTTTGTGGTTGTTAACATAAATTAACTCATTGTTCAAAAAATATTACTTTTTAAAAAATAAAATTATTTTCCGTTTTCATATCTTTAAAAAAAAATTATCCATAATTGAGTATTATAGAAAAAATTCTATATTTATTCTAATATTGTATATAGGGACTGACAAAAAAATTAATATTTTTTCACTTACTATTATAATATATTAAAACTTAGTTTTAATATATATATTATATAAATTTTGTAGTAAATAAAATTTAACCCGTACTTTAGTACGGGTGATGATCTAGTTTTATTATTTAAAGTATGTGGCACTTGTTCTGTCGAATTAGTAACTACCCCTTCTAAAAATCCTCGCCTACCTTAATTACTTTCTGTTTAATCGTTAGATTCATCCTTTCCGTCTCGATTAATGACTAATCCTTTAAAAAAATCAGTCATCCGATTACTCTCCACCTAATCCGATTAATTTCCGCCTAATCCGATTATCTTCCGCCTATTATATTCTTACATATCCGATTATTTTTTGTTGCAAGTATAAAACAACTCTTTTTTTGTTATTTGAATTGGAAATTTGTGATGTTTTACAATAATTTATGTTCAAATTTTTAATAAAAGTCATAATTTTTAATAAAAAATCATAAAAATTTGCCTTAAAATATATTTTTATGTGTTTACTACCATTTTGAAAACAATATTCGATTAATATATTTTTAAAATATTAAAATAACCCTAAAACTAATTTCCGATTAATCCCTAATTTTAATCCGATTTTCCAATTAATCGATAGGCCCATACCGAATGTCCGACTAGCGCCTAACGATTTTTTAAAACAGGGTAACTACAACTATTTTAGCTGATATCACTTTCCGAGCATAATTTCATGTTATACTTGGTTGCATAGAAACTCCGTCAAATTTAAATTGATAGATAACTTTACTTTTATGTAGTAAGAAAATTATATCGCAAATATAAATTGTAGTAGTAAATATATATATGGTTCAATTCCGCATATATGTTGCATGTTAAACAAGAAAAAATTATAATTTATAATAATATCTTATTATTTATATTTCTGTAGAATGTCTTATAAAATATTTCTATACTGTACATTAGTCGATATTACTATTGACACTTAATTTTTTGTAGCTAGAATCATTTTGAGTCCGATACATAGAATTTCAGAAACTATAACATTGCATAGTATTAGTAGTTTACTACAAATTTAAGTTTTTTTTTTTTTGAAATGCTTATCCATTACTACCTAAAAAGATATTCATCGACAAAGTAGATTGTTACTAATACAAAGTTTAATTTTGAAAAATTTCCTTCTCAATTTATACTTATTCAACGAAAACTTATTTTTCCCTTATCTCAAAAAGGAAAATATAAATAAAAAGGATAACGACACAAACATGAATCTCTATCCGAATATATCTCTCCCGTTATAAATATATACCCGACAGAGCTCAGGCCTCAGGGCCACTGGATTTTTTTTCATTTTCTTTCATCTCATTTCTTTTTCTTGGTGAAAATAGGGTTAAGAGAAAACCCCGAAATATTAGCGTTATTCATAATTAAAACAACAGAGAAAATCTGGGGTTCTCTTTTTCTCTGGGCTTTTTCAACTTTTGAGGTATATTATAGTCTCTTTTTTTCTTTTTCTTGTTTTTTTTTTCTCTGCCTGAAAAGAATGATGAGTTTTCAGTAATCTTTCGAAGATTATAATTTCTGAAATCTTTGACGATTTGTTACATTTATTGGTAATTCCTCGATTTAAAGCTGGTAATCAAAAGTGCTCTTCGTTGTTTGCATTTTAATTTGCCCATTTGGTTGCCGGAGAAAACGAGGGAAATCATAAGCAGGGTCACTATGATACGTATAATTTTTGGTGTTATTGAATTCTTTCATTTGCTTTCTTGTTGTTTATTTTTGAATTTTTTTTCCCCCGGAATAAAAACACTGGAAAATGCCAAGACTATAGAAAAATCCAAGCTGGGAAAATCCCGTTTTTTGTTGTTTTAAAGAGTTTTAAAAAGTGTAATCACGTGTATTATATGATGCTAGACACTCATTATCAATTAGCCGTTTTCTCAAAATTTCAATTATGTAAAAGCTGTATATTCAATCGAAAATTTCAATTAATTTCTCTTTGGTTTTCTAAATATTTCTGGTTTTCTCAGAATCTAAATTCACCAAAAATACGAAGAACAAGCAACAATCAATAATCTAGTTAATAACTTTTGACTTGAAAATTTTAAGTCTGAAAAATTCATTGATACAGTTGTAACAAAGAAGCTTTGTAGTATATCTATACTTGTATAACAAGTTTAGTCTTAATGTAATTACTCTTTCTCTAGCTAATTTTGGTTTTGGTTGCTGTCTCTGTCTCTGATTCTTGTTTTGTTGTAGAAAATGGTCGCCTTTGGAAAAAAGCTCAAGGAACGCAGCATTGAAGAATGGCAAGAGTATGTTTCTATAATATTCAAGAGTTTGGTTTTAAGTTTATGGCAATATATGATTCATCTACTTGCTTCTTTGGATGTTTACTCTATAGATATTACATCAATTACAAATTGATGAAGAAGAAAGTGAAGCAATATGGTCCACAAATCGAAGTAGGAAGTCTAGATCGCCGTCATGTTCTTAAAGATTTCTCAAGGATGTTGGATCATCAGGTTTTACTGTATTCCTTCACAAAACTTCGCGGCTTTCATAAAAACCATCAAACTTACCCATTTCGGCTTGCAGATTGAGAAAATCGCTCTTTTCATGTTGGAGCAACAAGGCTTGCTTTCAAGTAGGCTACAAAAGCTAAGGGAATGGCATGATGCACTCCAAGATGAGCCTGACTTATCTGAGATATCTAAGCTAAGAGAGGCTTATAGATCCGTGGGACAAGATCTTCTTAAGCTTCTGTTTTTCATCGATATGAATGCTATTGGTATCCGCAAGATACTAAAGAAATTCGATAAAAGATTCGGTTATCGATTCACAAACTATTATGTCAAGACTCGCGCTGATCATCCTTACTCTCAACTTCAACAAGTATTTAGACATGTGGTAAGGTCTATAAACCTCACAAAGCCTAATCTGCCACTATAACTGAAGCTTAACGATTACATCGAACTTTATAGGGTCTTGGAGCTGTTGTTGGAGCCATATCGCGCAACCTTCATGAGCTTCAAAACAATGAAGGAAGCTACTTATCCATTTATGATCAGCCTGTTCTTCCTCTTCAGGTACTTATTTTCTTTTTCTATGTGACATTAAGATATATAGTTGGGGAAAAAAAAATTACCATTTCATGTAAGAAATTTATGTCATTTTTCATACAAAAGTAGTAATAATATATATAGGACAAAACCAAAAATCAGTGGGGGGCACGTGCACCCATTGGTACCTAATACGTACGTCCTTGTGACAAATGTACATCACCAAGCTGCATTGCCAATGCAAAACCTATAAGTAGTTTAGTTTCAACGTTCTCTTTTGTGTTTTTATTGTCTTGGCAGGATCCTGTAGTGGATTCGATTAAGAATGCAGTGGACAGGCTAACACATTCAACAAACTTTCTTAATTTCATGGCTCAACATGCTTTAATCATGCAAGACGAAGATCTACTAATGATTCCTGCAGACGAGCAAGCGGAACAAGAAGAAGGAAGATATCACTTCATGTCTCTATTGTTAAACTTGGCCAACACGTTTCTTTATATGGTCAATACATATATCATTGTTCCTACAGCTGATGATTACTCAATGAGCCTTGGAGCAGCAGCAACGGTTTGCGGTGTTGTTATTGGTGCTATGGCTGTTGCTCAGCTCTTCTCTTCTGTTTACTTCAGTGCTTGGTCCAATAAATCTTACTTCAAACCGCTTATATTTAGTAGTATTGTTCTTTTCTTTGGGAACTTGTTATATGCTTTGGCTTATGACTTCAATTCATTAGCACTTCTCTTGATTGGCCGGCTTTTCTGTGGGTAAGTCTCCTTTTAAACTTGTATTATATATTTTGTTTTCATGAGACATTGATCATATTTATCGGTTTTGTAGATTTGGTTCGGCGAGAGCAGTGAACCGGAGATATATAAGCGATTGTGTGCCGCTGAAAATCCGAATGCAGGCTTCAGCAGGTTTTGTTAGTGCAAGTGCTCTAGGAATGGCGTGTGGTCCTGCTCTTGCTGGTTTGTTGCAAACAGATTTCAAGATAAAAAATGTCACATTTAACCAAGATACATTACCTGGTTGGGTTATGGCTGTTGCTTGGCTATTGTACTTAGTCTGGTTAGCTATTTCGTTTCGAGAACCCGCACGCGAGCCTGAAGAGATTCATACTTCACAAGAGTCTACCTCTGGTATGGAACTAAAGAGAAAAATAGGTCTGTTTTTCTCTATATTCTTATCTGATTAAAGCAAATCTTTTGTGATGAAGCTGATCAAGATGGAAATATGGAGAAAGGTCTTAAAAAACCGCTGTTGCTTGCATCAGAAGAAACAGAACATGATGAAGAAGATGACGGGGATGGAAGCGAAGAATCTTCTGATGATTCCCGTAAACCCGCTAACTCCTTTGTAGCTGCTTACAAACTACTCACTCCTTCAGTGAAGGTAACTAAAACTTAATTTATCTCTAACATAAATTCAATGTACTAAATCATGAAAGTTCCTTTTTCCTCAAAAGATATGATGAAAATGACAACTTTTTTTATTGCTTTTAGGTTCAATTGTTGATATACTTCATGCTTAAGTATGCAATGGAGATTCTACTATCAGAATCAAGTGTTGTTACCACATACTACTTCGGTTGGTCCATGAGTTCTGTTTCCATCTTCTTGTTCTGTCTCGGGCTAACCGTTCTACCGGTTAACCTCGTTGTTGGAAGCTATATCAGCAACATGTTTGAAGATCGGTAAAGATCCTTGTATATGTTATTTTCTTGCTTTTTTCGCCTTGCGGGTTACCTGAAAATGTGAATTTCTTGTTACAGGCAAATTCTGCTGGCGTCAGAGATTATGGTCTGTATAGGAATACTTCTCAGCTTCCATGTAGTAATCCCTTACACTGTGCCACAATACGTTTTCTCAGGATTCATCATGTTTGTTTCTGCTGAAGTTCTTGAAGGTAAAAGATTGATACATTGACCCCCCCAACACTTAACTTTACGTTTTAACCCGAAATCGTTTTCAAGATTTATGAATCTCTTGCGTTCTTGAAAGTAAACGATCGAACCTTCCCTCTTTATCATTTGAAAACATGTTTTTTTTGGGCGGGGATTTTGCAGGTGTGAACTTATCGTTACTATCGAGAGTGATGTCGTCGAGGCTATCACGCGGGACTTACAACGGAGGGTTACTATCGACGGAAGCTGGCACGATCGCACGTGTGATAGCGGATGCGACGATCACTTTGGCTGGATTTTTGGGACAGAGTATGCTTTTGAATGTTACTCTGCTTCCTTCTTTGGTCATCTGTGTTGGGTCTATCGTAGCTACTTGTTATACTTATAACTCCTTATATTAGTGCTTCTTTTACAGTTCATAGAAATTCAGCTTTTGAGATTATTAAGCTAACTTCTAGGTTCGATTGTTTCTCTTTTCTTTTGACTTTTACTTTGATCTCTTAGTGAAAGTTTTGTTTGCTCTATGTTTGACCATTAATGACAATTACTTTCGATTTTCTTGGTTGTAGAACTTGTACTGTTTATTGTTATCCGTTTAAAGATCTTAATTAAGTGAGTTTAACACTTAAACCAAAGTTAAAAATTTGGATTTAAAGTGTTCTAATATCTATACTAGTATAATCGCAGCACTTTTTGTGACGGGTGGGTAAAAAAGCTTTCGGGTATATCGGATATCCGACCCATTTTAAAAATTCCTTCACAAAAAATTTGTTGGGTCGGGTTATATTTAACCCAACTCATACACCGGATATTCCATATTTAATAATTTAGATTTTTAGAAGATTTGATTAAGATTTATAATTATGATTCTCCTATCATCTTTGTTTGATTTGTTTTTAACTGTTTTGAATCATCATATAATACATAAAGTAAAAAAAAAAAATCAATTTTTTTTCTGCATATACTGTGATTCGAAATTTTAAAAACGGACATATATTATCCAATTGACGAAAATGTGTGTTCAACGTTCTACATCGGTTAAAATATTTAGACAATGATTCAGAATCATATCATAAATAAGAACATTAATAAAATAAATGAGTTTTTTGGCGGGATGGGTTTGGCGGGACGGGTTTTTGAATCAACAATAATAAAAAGATTAAAATATCATTAATCCGCCGCTTCAATACGGATTTAATCCTTATTTTTTTTAATACAAATCACAGGACGGGTTAAGAAATTACGGAACGGGTTATATTTCGGAAATGATTTATATGGCGGACGAATTTGAATCAATATTTATATACCGCTTTAATACGGGTTAAATCCTCAGTTTATTAATAATTATCTCGTGGACTCGTGGTATACCGTTACTTAATAACAATTGTAAAGTATAATATAAATAAATATGTTATAAGGAGATACAATTTACAAAATATTTTTATACTAACTTTAAAATTAAATCATCCCGCGGTACACCGCGGGTTAAAATCTAGTTAATCTGATTATAAAAGCAAAAAAATCTTTTGGTGAAGCTGTTGAATATGGAAATATGGAGAAAGATCTAATCGCATTCTTCGACTCTCGGTGAGTTCTAGATCGGATCCTACCTTACTTCCACCTTCGTGCGATTTGTCCGATAATACCGGAGTTGTGCCTCTTTTTTGGTTCCCCTTGACTCATTCACTTTATTTTCAACCAAAATATGATCATTGCCCAAACTCACCGTAAGGTTTACTCTAGCTTTTAGTAACCGTTATGGACTTAGTTAAGAACACAAACAAACAAAATAGATTCCAACAAGTTCCAAATTATCATTTGCATGAGAGAGTAAATCAAATAGTAAATAAAAACAGAGAATACATTCCTTCTTTGTCCCTAAATCAAAGTAACAACAAACTTATAAAACGATCAAAGTGGTGCAAGTAACATAACATTTTTTAGGTGACTTTTATGATTTGTTCCTTTCAAGAATCAGTGTCCATTGGCTATGGATCCATCATCACCTTTCTTGCCATAGAATCTCCGGTACAAGGAATCAACCTCTTTCAGATAATAAGTTCCCGGTGCCAAAAGGTCTATTATACCCTCCTTGCTTGTCACAAAGTCCTTGGCTCCGTATCTATGTTCCATTAGCTTCATTGTCTCCACAAACTTCTCAGGTGCATACTGCAATAAACAAAGCCCCGAGTCAGAGATCAATGATTCAAGATTCAGGATATTTAAAGAACCGCGGTTTTTCTACGGGATGTTCAGTCTCGGTTTAACCAATCCAAACAGAATATGTAATGAACTGATTTGAATTCATTTCTTCCATATTGAAAATAAAATCCATTCTTGTGTTACCTCATGTCTAGCCTTCAATTTACCGCCAACATCCATTACAGATGCGATGTTTGAAACGCTGAAAGGAGGCTGATTGTCGTTGAGGCGTAATGAGAACATTGTTGCGGTTGAGCCACTACCATATGAGAACATAACCACCCGCTTTCCCGCCTATTCAAGAAGACCCAAACACAAATGTAACAAACTTCATACCAAATGTAATGCAGTTCAATATAGTCAGAACTCCAAATGTAATGGAGTTCAATATGAAGAAGCAAAGTTTGGTTTCTCTCATTACCAAATCGTTGTGTTTATTGTGGATGAGGGAAGCAAATGCAGCGTAGAGAGAAGCAGTGTACATGTTACCGACTTCCTTTGGTATTAAAGTCGTCGGTTGCACTTTGGCATCATAAAACGGTTTCGCAATTTGTTGTGACACCTAACAAAGAGACAACAGATTGAGTTATAAATGGTTTTCTCTCGGTATCAAAAGCAAAGGAAAAGGGAAAAATGAAAACCTTTTCAAGATCACGGCTTTGGTAACTCTCATCGAGGGACAAAGATGAATAAGGGGTGAACTTTTCTTTGGCAGCCTCGTCAATGGAGCTGCAATAGAGGAAAGAAGATGTTACTCATGATCAAAAAAGTAGAGAACATTTAATCCGAAGACACAATTAATAAGCAAGAACCTGGCGTTTCTCAAGAAGTCGTTGTACAAGAGACGAGCAAAGCTTTTCTGTACAAGCTGTAATAGCAGAGAGGAGGACTGATAAGAGACAATTCAAGTAGACAATACTATTGTTGGAGGATTAAGAAACTACTTTATTGTATGGAGAATGGAAAACAAAGTAATCAGCATCATTGATGGAAAACTCTTTGCCCTCGATTTTCTTGAACCTAATAAAAACCAAATACTTGAAATGAGTCCCACACAACAACAGAAGAAAGAAACTGAGTTTTAGTAACCATGAAAAACAAAACACTTACTTGTTGCATAAATGTTTATAGCAAGAATCAAGAGCCATAAGGTAGCAAGTCTGTGAAAGCTTACCATCAACAACCTACAAGAACACAAGAAACATAACCAAAAAAAATTAATTCTTCATGTCAAACGCTTGAGTTTATGCATTGAAGATTTACCGGGTACTCGCTAGCAAGATTGGGCTTGTAAAAGTCATAGACATGAGCCATGTGGCTTCCTCTCAATTTGCTTTCGAAAACGATAGGAGCATCGGGTCCTATCAACATAGCAATCGCAGCAGCTCCTCCAGTGGGCCTTGCGGGTCCTTCTGCATATACCTAAAAGCATTCAAATATAAACAGGTCAAGATTTACGCAAAGACGCTTAGGCATAATAAAAAATGTTTCCACGTAGATGTTATACCGCGCTGTCAGTACAAATGACGAGGCCATAACGTCCATCCCATGAGTTACTCTCAACCCAGTTGACACAATTCAACAAAGCCGCAGTTCCACCATAGCAAGCATTGGTCGAGTCAACACCTTCAACATCAGTGTTTCCACATTTCTGTTCATTCCCAACATACAAACTTTTACTCTCTTTTCACACAAAGAAAAATGACCGATCCTCGGATTTTCAATCGCAATTGAAGTCAAAAGAAAGTATGAATACCTCAAAGAGCTGCATCAAGAATGTCTTGATGGATTTGCTTTTATCAATGACAGTCTCACTTCCTACTTCAAGACGCCCGATTTGGTTAGGGTCAATCTTATACTTCTCGAAAAGTGATGTCACCGCATTGAAACTAAGAAACAGATCAAGTCAGTCTTTGCATGACAATACACACAAATGCAAATGAAAAACAGAGAGAAACAAACCTCATAGAGATAACATCTTCAAGCTCAGTGCAAAAAGCTAAGCAATCTTGGCCAAGTCCAATAGTGTATTTCCCTTTGCTTGCTCCATCATGAGCTTCCAATGCTTCCTATATACCAAAAGTAATACATTAACCAACAAGAGAATTAATATTTAGCAATTATAAACCACCAGAGTTTCAAAGATCAGAAAGTAAACTCAATCTCAAAAAAGAACCAAAAAGATTAGCAAGAATCTAGAACTAAAAGTAAACTCAATCTCAAAAAGAACCAAAAAAATTGTAAAATAAAAAAAAGGTTTGAACTTTTTGCAATTGAGACTTAATGAGAAATCTCAGGATCAAGGACCTGGAAAAACCCTTTCAAATCTCAGAGATCTCGATTTTGATAAATTTAATCAGAATCTTGATTCTGAATTTTAAATGAAAAAAAAATTGAGCTTTTTTTTTCTGTCTTCATCATAAACCAAACTCCGCCGCCATTACAATAAAGAAGAGACAAAACACAAGAAGCATTCGTATGTCTAAATTAACGAGATTTTCCTCGATGAGTTCTCAAGATTTTGAAACCCTGTTGGTAAAATCTCATAAAGTTTGAAGATTTATGAAATCAAACTATGTCCCGAAACGCAAAAAGATGGTCCAACAGAAACAGAGTATATCAATGCAATAGCTTCAATAAAAACGTAATAAACAGAGAGAATCGAAATTGGACTTTTTACCTGTTGAACACAAGTGGGAGGGAAATAGATATCCATAGCCAAAATCCCAACGTTCTTCGCCATTGTTTCGATGAAAACGAAAAGAACTTATTTTTCAGAGACTGAAATCGAAAGGTTCGATCTTTGAGAGAGATTTGTGAAGCTGTAGAGGAAGAAGAAGATATGAATCGGTTGATGAAAACAGAAAATGAAAAACTCAATTTGTTTTAAATAAAACAAGTCCAGGAGAAATATTAGGGGACTTTCTTTTTTATTATTATTTATTCCCCTAACAAAACTTATATTAGTTGTGCATTTTTTTTTTATTTGGTCAACAAAATACTTGTTGTACAGTTGTACTTCATTTTCAAAATTCAAATTTAGAGTTTAAAATCAACTAAATGTTTGGATTTTATTGGTGGAAAAACTAAAGTGATTGTAATATTTAGTTGTGAGAAAAGGAACTTTGGTTTTAAATTAAGATATTTTATATTTTTCTGGAGACAGCTACATGTGAAACAAAAGGAAATGAATGTCCATTAACAAACAAAAAACAAAAGAAAATGGTTGTTTGAAATAGAAAAAAAATATGTTTTTTTAAAAAATAATTTAATTACCTGGAAAATGGATATAATGTGAGAGAGATTGTGGCAGGATCTGTTCTCCGGAATCTGGACAACGCAGACTTCGTGAGTTAGCTTAGCTCCCTCGTGCTTCTCTTTCTTTCCTTATTTACCCTTTTTCTTCTTCCTTATTTACCACTTTGCCACTCACTAATTTTGGTTTAGGTCTATTCTTAGATGGTTTTTGGTTTGGTTCAAGTAGTTGGATTGTGACAAAAATGATAGAGTAGCTTTCTATTATAACTTGGCTTATACTTTGGTTAGATAACTTGGAGTTTAGTTCTTTTTTGAATAAAATATTTTATATCTTTAATTAACAATTTTTTTTTTATAAACCCTATCGGCTAATCCGGTTAGTCTTGGTAAAATAGTAAAAATTATAAAAACATATAGTATAGTTTTACGTACAAGTATGTATTTAAATCTTTTTTATTTTTTCACCATGAATTAGATCCTTCTACTTCTAGTCCTTGTTACAACTTTAAACATGAATTCAAATCAGAGTTTGGAATCAGATAGTATGATATGACATGCCGCATATTCAAAACTGCTTGTGGAACAATTCTTGGGTTCACCCCTAGGGGTGAACCCAATTCATTCACCCCCATTTTAATCACCAATCAAATTTTGACATGTCATCTAACTAAAACAATTAATATTGTTCTTAATATTATCTAAACAAAATAATTTAACTAAATCATTAAAAACTCAAAATCAAATTAATTGTAGGACCCACTACTCTCTCTCCCACGTCTCTCTCTTTTGTTTTTTTTTCTTTTTTTCAAATATTGTTTTTCTTCAACTTTAATAAAAAATGTAAAAAAAAAAAAATTTAGTTTCATCATATTTAATCATTAAAAATTAAAATTGAATTAATTGTGGGGCCACTAACTCTCTCATTCACGTAACACTCCTAAATCCATTAGGAAAAAAAATCAATATGTCAATAAAAAACCCTAATTCTAAATGTTATATAAACTCATTAACCCTAACCTTATTCATAAGTTTTTTCTATTCTTCTTCTCACATATCATCAAAAGAGATTAGTTTTATCAAAAAAAAGAGTTTCACGTTTCTACACAATTTAAACGTAAGTTAAAATAATTTTTATATTTACATCAAAGTTTCTTAGTTTAAAAATTATTCAATTGAAGATTTTCTATCTACTTGATTCATGTATTGAATATCATATAAGTAGGACGTTGTTTGTGTTTTGAAAGCATGTTAGTACGTGAATTATTATTTTTGTTTTGTATGGTTTTATTTGTATTCTATTTTTTGGTAACTTAGTTTTCAATTGTCAATTTTTTTTTTTGCACCACATAAAGAAGAATTGTTCTTCTTCCTCATATTTTTTTTTGTCGTAAGATCGTACCGTGCTATTTTTTTTGTTTTATTGGCAAGATTTATACAACATAATAAACATATATATCTATATAATAAATATATATATATATATATATATATAATAATAATAATATATTGATTAGTGCAGATTGCAATGGAAAGTAGTGATGAGGAAAAATATGATTCAGTAAGTGAAGACGAAGCTTCAGTCAGTGAAGACGAAGCTTTAGTAAGCGAATTCGAAGAAGAAAAAGATGATATAGTCAACAAAGAGAACTACGTTAAAACTGAAGAGAAGAAAGATGAACTGAATATTGGAATGGAGTTTAGTTCTGATGAAACTGCATATAAAGCTTATAAAAAGTTTGCAGGTGAACATGGTTTCAATGTAAGGAAACAACGGAGAAAGAAAAAAAATGATAAAGTAGTAAGACTTCTCTATGTTTGCTCAAAAGAAGGGTTTAGGAAGGAACCTAAGATCAAGACATGTTATTCACAGCCAATTACACGGTGTGGTTGTAAAGCTATATGACTTGCTACCTTCAGAGGACGGGAAGATATAAGATTGTGTCTTTCAACCAGAATCATAACCATGATTTAGTGAAGACGCCTATGAAGCATTTGCTGAAGGGAAACCGGATGTTCTCTGTCGCTCAAATACAACATGCTGATGATGCCGAGATGTCAGGAATTTCAGCAAAATCAACTGTTGAAATGATGAGTAGAGAAGTTGGAGGGCGAGAAAATCTGGGGTTTTTGGAGAAAGACTATCGTAATTACATTTATCGAAAGCGAATGGAAAAAATGGTAAAAGGAGATGCTGGAGCAGTTTTGGAATACTTTCAAAAAAAGAAAGTGGATAATTCATCTTTTTTTTATTCACTGCAACTTGATGAGGACGATATGATCACGAATATCTTCTGGGCAGATGATCGGTCTATAAGTGATTATAATCTTTTTGGAGATGTCGTCTGCTTTGACACAACTTACAAGACCAATGAATATGATAGACCATTTGCTCCATTTAACGGGGTCAATCATCATAAGCAAACTGTAGTATTTGGTGCTGCTCTCTTATATGATGAAACCACTGAGTCATATAAGTGGCTTTTCGAGACTTTTCTTGGAGCAATGTCTGGAAAACAACCAAAAACTATTCTTACTGACCAATCTGCAGCAATGGCGAATGCAATAGTGAAGGTATTTCCTGAAACAAAACATAGGTTATGTGTTTGGCATATTTACCAAAATGCTGCAAAAAAGTTGAGTCATGTATTTCATGGGCCAGGACAGTTTGCCACAGACTTTGGAAACTGTGTATATGACCATGAGGAAGAAGAAGACTGGCTATTGGCATGGAGTAATATGCTCAATAAGCATAATTTGATAGAGAATAAATGGTTAAAGAATATGTTTGAGGTGAGAGAAAAATGGGCAATGGTATATGGACGTCATACTTTTACAGCAGATATGGTGAGCACACAACGTAGTGAAAGTATGAATAATATTTTGAAAAGATACTTGAAGAGTAGTTATGACTTGTTGTCCTTCTTTGAACACTATGAGAAAGTGTTGGATGATCGACGATATAACGAGTTAAATGCTGACTTCAAAATGATGCATACCTCTTCGGTATTATCTGCTACCGTAGAGATGTTGCAACATGCAGAAGAGGTGTATACACCCGAAGTTTTTAAGTTGTTTCAGAAGCAATATACAGTTATCGGTGATTATGTTGCTAAAAAAGTCAGCAAGTCTGAGATGGTGTATGAATACAAAGTATCTTATCGTGGTGGACCGCGAGAGCATTTGGTTAATTATGATGCTACAAACCAAACGATACAGTGTAGTTGCATGAAGTATTCTTTTGCTGGGATCTTATGTCGTCATGCATTGAAAGTATTGGATAAGAAGGATGTTAGGAGAATTCCATCTAGCTACATCTTGAATCGATGGAGTAAAGAGGCAAAATCACGAAACATATCTTCTTATCGTTCAGAGACATTTAATGGAACAGTAACGCAATCGATTGGAAAGCGTTATAGCCATTTATGTCACAATTTCCGTGAGATTGCATTTGTTGCTGCTGAACATGTAGAATTGACGATGTGTGCGAATGAAGCTGCATGTGAATTGATTAAAATATTGGAGAAAAAGAAAAAAGAACTTGTGAAGGCTAATGCATGGATGCTCCCAACTTCAAATGTTGAACATGTGGATAGAGAAGAAGAAGACGAGGAAGTTCTAAATGCACGTGGAATTAAAAGAAAAGCTACTGTTGGACGACCAAAGAACAAAAAGGTCGGACCCCACGGTCGATATTTGAATGCTCTTGAAACGAAAAAACGGGGTACATCAAAGAGAAAATTATTGTTTCAGGTATTTGATAAATAATTCTTCTTTTTCGTTTATGTCCAATTTCCAGCAAAAGGTGACTTCGTCAATATATGTATATATATATTAATTACAAGATAAAATTGATAAATGCTTCAGGATTCAACTTTTGCTACCAGCAATCCGACATTACAGACAGAGCCATTTTCCTCACAAGTGCTACAAGTAAACTATTCATTCTTACTATTTATATTTGACTTTTCGGTGACTTCGTCAATAGATGTATGTATATTAATTACAAGATAAAATCGATAAATGCTTCAGGATTCAACTTTTGCTTCCGATATCCACTTATCTGTAGCTACAAGCAATCCGACTTTACAGACGGGGTCTTTTTCTTCACAAGTGTTTCAGGTAAATAATTTACTCTTACTATTTATATTTGACTTTTCGGTCAAATTTTTCATTATTTGAAATCTTATATTTTGTAGGAATTTGACAAAAGTTACGGAGATTTATTGTAAACCTCGATCATTTTGAATACAAAGACAAAAAACATATGGAAATGTTAAAGCTTTACTATTAATTATTTTGGTTAAATTTTTTTTTTTACATTTTTTATTAAAATTGAAGAAAAACAATATTTGAAAAAAAAAAAAAACAAAAGAGAGAGACGTGGGAGAGAGAGTAGTGGGTCCTATAATTAATTTAATTTTGAGTTTTTAATAATTTAGTTAAATTATTTTGTTTAGATAATATTAAGAACAATATTAATTGTTTTAGTTAGATGACATGTCAAAATTTGATTGGTGATTAAAATGGGGGTGAATGAATTGGGTTCACCCCTAGGGGTGAACCCAAGAATTGTTCATTATTGTGGGACTAGCGGTATACAATGCCACATTTTTGCAAATTGCTTATACTTACTATCTTATAAACAAAACTAACATTTGTCATATATCCATATTGTTTAGATAAGGAAAATAAAAAGAAAACCAAGTGTCAGTACATATATTCGTATTGTTTAAATAAGTAAAATAAAAATAAAATCAAGTGTTATTAGCTCAACTGATAAAGATTCTCAAATAAACGTAAAAGTTATCGGTTCAAATGATATTTAAAAAGAAACCATGTAAAATACTATAATCCCTGACTTGAAATGGTGTACATTCTAGGAGCCCAAACTATGTGATTGAATAAATCCTCCTCAGATTCATACGAGAACCACGATAATTCAATGAAACCTTCAGAGTCCAAAGTTCACTGAGTGAGAACTATGTTTAGGCTTAGAATCATTTAGTCATTCAAAAAACAAACATTTGTCATATATCCAAAAAAATCAAACCGAGTGACTTCGACCGAAAGCAAATAATCGCAAATACTATTTTCACTACTAAATTTTGTGATATTTTTTTAGTTAGTGATATAAGTATTTTAGGATTTTTTTCGGTAAACTAGAGCTACTACGAGGTGGATTGATAATGTGTCCGATAACATTAATTGGTTAGATCAACTCCGAACCAACTCAACACCATGAATAAGTCATGAGTCATACATTAATTCACACTATCTATATAAATAAACATCCTTTACTAATTTTTTTTTTAATATTCTAATACTATTGATTATCTTTGTAATCTAGTTTATTAATATTTTTATAAGTTGGCGAGATGATATAGCTTCACCCACGAGAAACTAGCGCATATTAAGTCATCAACAACATGGAAACATCACGTTTGCGTAAAAAGAAAAGATTATTCACATTTAAGGAAGAAAAAACGGTTATTAACAACAAAAGCCTCAACCACAAAATGTAAAAATAAATAAACTAAGTTTTATAGATTAGTGGTTCCCATTTAAGGTGTAAATATTTTATGTAAATGTAGGACATAGATCGATTCTTTTCAGATACATGATTCAGTTCTTCTAGTCGTATGTACATGTTTCATATCCGATTTTTTTATGGACTTCGGAAATCAGTCTAAATTTTAGCTTAGTAATTTTTGGTTTAGAGAAAAAATTAAATCAACAAAAAATGTTACCTTAATATTTTAATGATTAGCTGGTAAAATACTGATCAGACAGAACATGGTGGTGTGGGATTTGGAATCAATGAGTTTAGTCTTGGAAACATGTGAAAACATTGTCGTTTTCATAAAGCTATAATCTCCCTAAGACCTTGGAATCTCCGCTACCGTCTGATTGAGCTCTCATCATCATCCTCTACCGTCCGATTTGGTTACCAAAAATGGTCAAACATTATTAAAGAATGTACTATTTTACCAATTTCAGACCGTCTCTCATGAGTCGGACTACGCTGACGTCACGATTTTGTGGGACATAAAAAAGTGATAACACGATCGATGGTTACACAAACTCGTGGTTATACACGTGAGGGGGGTAGGTAGGTTCGATACTATTTCACTATCTTCAATTATTGTATCAGACTTGTATTTGATATATCTAATTATCTAAAGACATTGCATAACCTTTTTTTGTTAGAAATATTGAAAATAAAAACAATACTTCCTCCAAGTTCAATCAAATATCGTTGTTAAATTTCTCCTCAACTAGAAAAGACATAAAACTTTATGTTGTACTTTTACTAAAGTGTGTTTTCTTTCTTCAACTAACTTTTTCGGTTAAAAAAAATCTTTAATATAAATTTTGTTCATTTTGGAAAAAAAAGGTTTACAAAAACAAAAAAATTGGTTCCGGGTGAAAGGATCTTTATTGGACGATTCTATATATATGACATTCCTACGATAGGTAGGCTCTCACTGCAATACTCTAGACCACTACGAACGGTTCTGTATGCGGTCTCTAATAAACTTTACACCAATAATCTGTAAAACACTGCGTTTTCTAGAAATCGATCCTAAATTTAGTGTAAAAGTATTAATGAACCACTGAAACTCTCTCAAAAAAGTAAAATAATCTATTTCGAAGCTAATAAACTCATCTTTGAGAGTTTGTGACACCTTAATCTAGAAACAAATACGTCTTAAATTTCATTGTCATATCTTGATACTTGAGTAAAGATTGTTTTGAAACAACTTTATAATATTATCTTTCTAATCAATAGATAAAACTAATTTAAATAAATATATTTATTAATAAAAACAAAATCTAAATTTAAATTTAAATTTGAAAATACTGTATTGAAAATAATCAGACCGGAAGTAGCAGTTTAAAAAAAAAAAAAAAGTTCCAAAACACACACTATGATAGATCAATTGAAATATTGTAATAAATAGATTTACAGCTCATAAATTTGAAAAGCACAACTATACCCTAAAGGCACACTTTCATTCAGATCACACTCAGAGAGATTTCTTGAAGTGGAAGAAATAAAGAACAAATGTTGATCACTACAAGGTCAAGTTTCAGATGGTGAGGTTTTCTTGTAGCACAAGGAACGATCCTATGATCTTGCCGCCGAGATCTGGGAATGTCTCGCATCCAGGAAGAGAACTCACTTTGCCTGTTCTATCAACTTGAACTGGATACTTAAGAAGATGACCTGGCATCTCTGTGACTTCCTCTGCGGCATACTGTCTCCAATTGAGCTCACTCAATTGCCTAACTCGTCTAACGCATTCCATGTTCTCTGGTTCCTCGAAACCTTGCTCTAGAAACCCTAGATGTTCTGCCCATAACGACATTCTATATCCAAAGATCTGCAAGAAATTGGGACAAACCAGGGTTTAGATATGTTTTAGAGGACATACATTGGTGGCTTTTTAGTTTTTCGTCATGGAATGCTGGCACAGATTGAAAAGTAGAAGTCTTTGACAGTTTTTTACCTGACCACGAGGACGAGAACCTTTCATAGCCCATGAATGGTGTGGTTGATACCCTCCCATGGCGATTTCAGTGTCTCTAGTTCCTTCCAAGGATCTCTGGTTGATATTCGCGGAACCAATTAAGACAAACTCATCATCCACTACCATACCTTTGGAATGAACATATATCATGAATCTCCGACTCTTCAAAGCTTGCACCTAGATTAGTTTGTCATTTCAGTGAGTAAACCCATTAAGCCAAAATCGAAGATTTAAGAAGACATTTATAGATGTATACCTGTGCAGCATTTGCATTTGCATTTGTCTGAGGTGGCTTCCGTGGACTATTATATACGCTAACTGTTCCATCAGGAACCTCTCTGGTTCCAAGACAGAAAAAGTTCAAAAAGTCTTGTGGCTCAAACTGGCCATCAAGACCAACTTCCACAAGTGCCTTGTAGATGGTTTGATACATCATTTGCATTGTTTTGTGCTGCAGAGATTATGAAAAGATTCCGGTATAAAGAAGGCAATATTATTCGTCAAGATCGGGTTTTTAAAGCAAAGAATTGACAAATTATTTACCTGCCAGTATAGAATTCTTTGAATAGGGTTACTTGTTGGAGCACCTTCTGGCCACATTGGAATGACAATATAAGCAGCAAACTTTTCCCTTGCTCTAATCTTATTAGCAATCTTAAGCGCGATTTCTATCGGGATTAGATTATTAGCACCTGCAATGCCAAAACTCCTTGTTTATACTGCATGCATTGACTACTTAGCTTACCTTCAAAATCTTTCAAGTTTCTTACCCAAGTCCTTGTTCGAATCCCAGTTGAATGATGATCCAAGAAAATATTGGTTCTCAATGTAAATGAAGTGCTGAGCAGATCGTATTGCCTTAACGTAAGCTGCATGTATGCTCATATCTATGAGAATATTCTTCCCACATAGAAGATTCTGTTCACAAATACATAATCAGTAGAGAATAGCAACATGATGACAAACTAAAACAGTTCAGAATTGTGCTTACTCTTCCAGTAGCTTCCTTTGGGTCCTTTGGAAACCCTTTGACTGAACTTGAATCAATTGAACGGAAAACCTAAAGATTAAATATCATTGGAAATAAAAAATGAGATTCCTTTTTTAACCACCACAACTAACAATAATGCTTCATGAGATATCATATGATAATAATCATATTTCAAAACATTAGTTTCCTAAATTACCTGAACATGCCAAGACTCTGGATCATTATCATTAGCAGAAGAAGCTTCAGAAAGTCCCATAATGTCAGGAATTCTGTCTATCCTAAGCAAAGAATCATCATCAGAAGATTTTAGTTTCCCAATTCCGCGAGGTTTTGAAGCCTTCATCCAGCGTTCCTCGAAATTAGCAAGCACATCATATGCAGCTGGACCATCAATCTTGCTGTGCAGATCATGCCATGGCTCTCTTGGTCCGTCATCCGCAGTAGTCTAATAGGAAAACAGATTTTACACGAATTAAGAATACCGGAATCTAATTTCATAATTCAAAACCAAACAGGATTTTTCATAAATGGTTACCACAAAATTTGGGTTATGGAAGTCATCTTTATGGAGTGTCTTTAATGTCCTAAAGAGAGGATGCTTGGGAGTATCAAATCGTCCGTTGCACAAGTCTAGCCCTCCAACAAATGCTACGATCTTTCTTCGGTTCTGAGCTGCTTCAG